ATCACAGTGTTTATTTTCTGTATTGGATTTTTAATTCAAATTTGGAAGAGACTTTGGATGTAGTGCCTGGGAAAATGTTGTTTAGTTTATGTTTCTCCATAACATAGTTTTTTTTCAGAATTGTTTGAATTTTTTTTTATTTTTTATTTTTTATTTTTTATTTTTTTTTGGTCCGCGTTCGGACCGAACGGCCGAACGCCTTCCGAAGGGGTCCCGTACGTTCGGGCATTCGGGTTCCGGCGTTTGGCACGTCCCGAACGTCGGTAACCCTGCATATATATATATATATATATCGTCAAATAGAATATATATATATATATATTGTTGTCCTCTTCTCCCTCTCTGCCTACGGTTTACCGGGCAGTTCTATTTGACGATATATATATATATATATATTGCTGTACATCTTTGAAATATCAATATCCCTGTATTTTTAGCTTGTTTTTCTGTTTTTTTTTTTACCCGTAAAAATATCTCTGTGTAAAAAAAAAAAAAAAAAACTCATTTCATCTTTTTTTTGTTTTTCATTCTCTTAACGTTTCTGATTTTTTTTTAATATAGTAAAAACTAAAAAAATAAAAAGAAAAATATGAGGCTGTAGAACTCAAAAAGATGTACAACACTTTTATTTTATTTTTATTTTTTTTAGCCTGTGACAAAAATCAGCGCGGGTCCCGTGAACTTGTGTAACGGGCTTTTCAACAGGGATTCAACGTGCGTTGAATCTTTTCATATAGAACCTGCGTTGAATTGATTTTCGGACACTCTACCTGACAACATTCCCGGACTCCATTAAATGACATCTTCGTCACTTATCATCAAAGTAAAAGGTTAAAATTTTATGAATTTTCCATGTGAAAGCAACGATCACAATACACAACAATTTCAACAATCGTCCGGAACTAAGCCTGAAGTTTTTCATCAGTGTACAACAATACAACAACAAAAGTGGATTTAGCCTCCAGAAACCTTAAATCAATACAACTCATAAGTTGATGAAATTATACCAGATTTGCCTCTCGCAAACCTTATCAAAATTTAGATCCTGGTCAAGCCCATGAAAACCTTCGATTTAGAGGAACTTATTCAGAATGATCCTAACATCATCCCACTGGCGGTCACTCAAAACGAATTTTTGTCTCCCAGAATGGTATCGGAAGCCCTCCGACTAGTTCGAAAACAAAAACTCATTCGGTTGATATATCAATTTATCCAAAAAAGTCAGAATTAACCCCTGACCGGTCTTTCAAAATCAACCTCGTTGGTAATTCAGACAAAACTTGAACTAACCATTCATAAAAGAAATCATTCGTTCAAAGTTCTTCGTCCAAGTTATGATTCTCATTCTATTCTACATAAGTTATCATGGTCGTTACTTCTGAACCTCTTGTGAAATGCGTTGAGGAGTGATGTACTTCGTATGAGGATAACATTTCGACATCAAGCTCCGCTTTAGATTTGAGTCTCACCACATTCCCTCCGATTCCAACGTTTTCGATCTCATTGGTTCTCTGCACGTAGAGGAGAATAGTGCCACCTCACATAACCGAGGTTGGTTAGACCCCGACCATAGAGATACGGTGATCATGCTTGACACGAGGTGAGGTAGCCACTCCTCCCCTCGCGGCAAACAATCGTCGCCTAGCCTACAAACAACATTCTAACGAGATTTCTATACTTTCCTTTCTTCAATTGATAGTATAGTCCTCCTTCCCTTAAACCACCTAGGATACAGAGAGCAATATCTCACTATGGACCAGGAGCATAGCTCCGGCGCGGGCCTCACTACCACCGACGGAACTCACAAATCCATCATAATTTTCTCGTGACATAATAACATCTTTCACACAAAATATTCGACAACATTGATACATCTTACAACAAACGCTTTTACATGAAATTTCATAATGACCTAAGCTAAATAATCTTCAACATCAGTTCAAATGCCTTCATATCATAGAAAAAATATCAAAACGATGGATAATGTCGAAAAAAATGGTAGTTAAGGTAAAATGATCAATCAAAGTTTACATCATTGCAATATAATAATAAAATGTATGACTAAATTTATCTACAAAACAATATCAAGAGGAAGTGAACGTTTAGTTGACAACATTTCAAAATAGTTCCAGCTGATAACAATTTGCGCAGTGAATTCGATTTACTAAAATCATAACCAAAATGATATCACAAAGTTTAAAATAAAATATACGATTAAAATATTATACATGAAAGATAATAAATTTGAACATAATATTCAAAATATATAGATAAAATCGAGGAATATCAAAATAATAATAAAGTATGACTCAATTAATATGAGGATATTAAAAATTTACATCCAACTGAAATGTTTAAAATAACAAAAACATCCTTCATAGTAAAATTGATAGATAACCTATAGAGATAAAACAATAAGAAATTAATAAATAATGATAAAATAATTAACTTTTAAAAATTAGAATACGATCAATTGATCCATTACAAAATAAAATACCCGAGTGTTGTTCCACTAGGGACAACGGTAGGTATCCGCTATCCCTACCAACAACGTCGTCTGTGGAGCGCATCGGCTGCCGCATTTTTGCAAAGAGCAAGAGCCCTCTTTTTTAGCCTTGTTAGGCCCTGTCACATTTTAGGTAGAATAAGATTAACTTTGACATTCCCATGTTCAGACGCCTCTTCGACCTCGACAAAAGCGAATTACAACCGGTTATTGTCGTTACTCTCAGACGCCACAAGTGTCCAGACTAAAGTTCAATATCTTTCCATATTTCGGTCATAGGTTAGTCTGAATGAACTTTTGGGAAACGTCGGTCTCATCAAGTCCTTCAATTGAACGAAAAAGTCGGACAGTGTCCGACGTTAAAAATCCCCGCCAAATATCCTTGTCAAGGTATTTGCCCCGACAACGACTAAAGTCTTCCTGTGAACAAAACACACGTGCGTTATTTACAATTAGAACGCAGGGGGGGGTTATATTCTATTCGTATACAAAGCACATGCGTTATGCTGCAAATATAAGGTATCAAATTCCGAAAATGCCCCCCCTCCAATTCGTACACAACGCACATGCATTATGCTACGAATATAGGGTATGAAATTCCAAAAATGCCCCCCCTCCAAAAAAAAAGAAGTATGTGCATTGTACAGGTACCTCCAGTTTTCCCGCAAACAGAACCTTAAGAGGAGGGAGGGATGGGGGGGGGGGGGGGGGGGG